TTGCCCGCTTCACCGACCAAGGCATCAAGTGCACAGGCAAAATTGTTCCCTCTTGGACCTTTGCATTGCCCTATTTCCCTGACAACGGCATCGGTGTAGCCCATGCCCTATATCAGGTTACCGCCATAGTGTACCACCTAGGGGAATCAATTTTGCAAGGCCATTACCGTGCAGTCCTTTTTGAGGAAGGTATTCCATGTTATCACATCGACGACGGCAAGAAGGCTGTCAGACTTAGACCCCGGGACCTAAGCACTGTACTCAGCAATGCCTACCTCCTTTTTGCCACTAAGAGCTCGTGAGTTCATTTGCTCCGAACTGAGTTCGGATGAACATCAGCCCAGTCATGACGATTGAGCACTCAACCTAGATACATGGCTCCATGGTCTGAGTGTCATATATTTTCCATTCACCACCGATGCTCATATCATGACTGGGATTAGGTGGCTCGCTTATGGGGCCTGTCGGGCCGGAGCCGCCATGACCCAAGAATATCTTGGGATTCCCTTATGAAAATCATAAGGATGAAAGACGCATCGCAGGACTCTTCTGCGGCGAGTGAAGAAGATTTTCGTTGTGGTTATGGTTACGATATGATTCTTTTTGAGTGTTATCGCAGCAGCAAGCATGCCAGGAGCCGGATGCTGCTGCCAAGGACGTTCAGTGCTTAGCCGTTCCATCGCCCAAATCCCTCCGAGACTTCAAGAACGGTTTGAGTTACGTCATGGCCGAGGACAGCAACAAGAACAATGCTGACAATGCTGAAGACCTCGGTGCGCCGTTTGATCCTGAGACAGTATGACCTTGCCTCAACATAACTCAACCTAGTGGCAGCCCAGGATGGCAGAAGATCACCAGGCTGACTGAGCTGTTTATTTACATTTTTGAGAGTGTCCATCAGATAGTTGAGATTCACAAAGCTGCTCCCAAGCTGCTCGGAATCAGATGGGGTTCAGGATGGCATCAAGAGACACGGAACTGACGATGGGATCGAGGCCCAGTGGCACCAGCAAGATGTCGTTTGCAAAAGATTCAATCATGCCTGGCTTTCTGGACAGGTTCCTTTGTCCAAACGACAACGACGGCGGCAGAAGATTTTGGAAGCGCGTGGAGAACTTCCTCATGCCCCACTGCCCAGCTAGCTTGCTCCGCGCTTCAGAGACGTTAGGCTTTGACCGGTGAATCAGGACACGGCGCCCGCAGCAGAAGAAGGGCCTCCTGAAGCTGAAAGCCAGCCAGAGAAGAGGTTGTGAACATTGGCCATGAAGCTCATGCACATTGCAGGCCTATCGTGGAATCCTAAAGTTCTGCACAACGCCAGGGCAAGTAGCAAACACTGCCTAAATTGAGTAGAAGAAGAAGGTGGTGTGTCGGTTTGTGAGTTTGGAGAGGGGTTGATGTGTGCGGAGCTGGCTTGGAAAATCTATCCACAGATCATGTTGCGTGCCAGCCGTTCATTGACCCTAGAATACAATGCTGCCGCGATGAAGTTAATCTTGCTCGCGCTGTTTTTTGGGCTCGGTAGCGCTGCGGCCAAAGCGACCCCGGCCGACCAGGCTGGGGCATAAAAGGAAGGTGTCGTTTCTCACAGTGTAACGGGCATGGTCGAAGGTCTGGAACCAGATCCATGGAGGCCGAGGTCTGCAAGCAGTGGTGTCGGATTTCAGCAAGTTCGCAACAGGCAGCCCTTGCAAATAAAGACAGGTCAGGAGGCCTGCCAGCTCGCCGATGAGTCGCCAGGGCCTCTGGTCGACCTGCATGGCAACGTCAAATCTCAGACTTCTCACTCAAGGTGATGACAACAGTTTAGAGGAGGCAGAGATTTCGTCCCACCACTTGCGGGTAGGTGAGATTTTGCTCAGGGCGTGATCCCTACCAGAGCCAACCCTGCTGCAGCTGGTCAAACAGGCCACCGGCACATTGTCGTTATGTATGCTTGTTGTTTTGTCCCGCAGGTCAGAGAAGGCTGGGTTCTCAGACGGGCGAGTAAGAGCAGTCAGACTGTTGGCATATGTGCGACATGTGCTGTGAAATAAAGAATCCTACTGAGCGAGGCATACCATGCGCGGTTGGCTTCTGTCGTTCTTGTGCATGTACGACAGCATGGACAGACTGCAGGCGCAACGGAAGTGTTTGAATCGTTAAAGCCCCGGCTGCGTTCGTCTGCCGGGTTGGATGTTTTGCTTTTCTGAATTACTTCTGAACCTTCCCCTTGCTGGAAGAACTGTGGGGTTGCAGATCATTGCTGATCATTAGTTGGAGCATTTTCATGCTCATGAAAATACGATCGGACACTCACAACTCCAAAACGCAAGCATCGGGGTAGTGGACCGTCATGGACCCTCATCCTTTGGCAGCGAATTAGGCACGTCATGTTCCCTTTTTGCCAAATGGAATTCTGGCAACAACCGCGTGATTTGACTCCAGGTAGAAAATGCTTTCAAGCTTTTTCCTCCCAAATGTTCGTCTGACCCTCACCCAAGAAGCCAAAGAGCATGGGCTGTTTCTGTGGAGTGGTTCAGAGATTGAGAAGAGGCAAAGTTTTTTGACCGCAGGCTGCAGTTGGCTGGTTTATGTTCCTTACTAGAATCATGAATGGATTAGAATCGACTGCCAGAGCATGTGCCGCATTTCAGCGGAAGCTTTTCTTATTGGGCTTTAATACTTCGTGCAGCATGGCTCCTGCAAGGGTAGTGAAGGGTCTTGTGGCAGTGCAGAGGAGCCAGGGCCTGCATAAGAGTTTTCGGGGACAGTTTTCTCCTAGACTATTCATATCTTAGTCAGCATACGAGAGTCAAGCATGGTGAGCGTGCTACAATTCTTCGAAAGCGTGCAAGCAAGAGCATCTGCCAGAATGTCTTTCATTGTCTGTGGCTGCAAATTTTCAGGGCATCAGTGTTTTCTGAGAATGTGCACGTGCCACAGACATGCGTGTTCACGTCACCTGATGGTTGACCAGATTCCCGGAGAATGATGAAGGAGTGATTTGGCCATATCGCACGATCAAAACCACTGCTCTTTCAAAACCACTGCTCTTGGAACAGCAGACCTGAATGTCAGACCTTTTTTTCCTGTGACGTTGTTCTCGAGCAGCCTTCTGCGCTAGCAAATTCTGAAACCATCTCACGCATGTGGTCTCTTTCGTCGTGCTTACACACTCTTATGAAAGAGAGTGGGCTGAGAATCATGCACTACACCCAATATGGATTCCCCCTGTCGTGGTGCACAAACATAACCTGCACTTCACCTTGCGGCACTCCCCCCACTCAAGCCTGAGAATTGAGAGGAGTACTTTCTTAAATGCAGCTGTTTAGATTTCTTCAGCCATCCAGGCTTCTGTGCCACAAGTCCTGGCATGTCATGTTGGCATGCCGCACTAGCTTTTGATGTGCCGGAAGGGGAGGGTATCAACTTCACTTGCAGATTGAGGGATTTGCGACCCAAGCGCAGCTCCTTCTGTGCTTACACTAGGCACTATGGAATTATGGCTAGGACCGTATGCCTTGAAGTTGATCAGTCCTGCATGCAGCGATGCTTGAGCAGCACCTGGCAATTACCATAAGCTTGCTGCGATGCATACCTCTGTAACAAAGTCCTCTGAGTAACAGGTGTCCACCCAAAGATGCTCATCACAGATTCCTGTTCAGGTGCACTATCCACCACGCTTCAAAGTCTTGCTGGCTGTTCCTCGGCCGCCTATCCATGGTTGAATAGTGGACTCGTGTACACAAATTAGATCAGCAAAGAGAAGGTTGTGGTGATTATGGCGTCTGCATGGGTCGCAAACTTTTTCATCAGCGTGCATCCGCTGCTCGAGGCGCGTGAGATAGGAAGCTTGCGCCGCTGGGTGTTGCATTCACGTGCATACCACTGGTTGCTAGTTTGTGTTGTGGTGCAGGAAGACGACGATCCACCAGAATGCAAGTATGCGCTGAACCAGCTCAAGTGCGACAGCTTTTCTCTTCTGAGATTCGTATTCTTGCAGTTCAGCCTTTTCCGCAGGTATAATGCTCGTGTCCTGTTTGTGTACTTTATGTGGTTCAGCGTCGCCCGGGCATCTCTCTTTGTGTGGCTTAGCTATTAGATTCGCACATCTTGGCGTGGCATTTTGACAGCTTCTCGAGGCCGTGCGTGCTGTCCCGAGTAGGCGTTCTGCCTTACGGTTGGCCATTTCAAGCTCAGCTTGCTGTCCTGGCAGCCACGGTGCAATCGCGGACGCATGGCTTCTGCCGAACGTGCAACCGGAAGGTTTGTTGTTTGCGGAAATGTGGAGACTTCTGCGGAAGAGAGGTACTGCGTCCATCTCCTCATCCGAGATGGTCCAATCTACATTTTCGTGGTGCTTGGCACAGCTTGAGACAATTTGATGTCATGTGATTGGGCGATCGGCCAGAGCTGAGGTGGGTTCAGTCCTATTCTGGTTCAACATCCTACGATCCCCTAGCTGTGAAGACAGGAGTGTTGTGACTTGTCCATGCACGACTATATGGATATCGTGATTTTGCTAGGAGTCCGGAGTTGCCACACAGCAGCAGAGAAGATGAAGAAATGCTTGTTGCAACCTTGTCTTTCAAGCTCTCAGCCAGATCCATGATTCCTCTGAGGTATTCCAGATTGAAAATGTATGCGGTGTGTTCCTGCCTGCTTGCTCCCTAGCGGGTGCATTGCAAGTTCGTGCAAGGCTCGCTTATTTCCTGTAGCAGCTCATTGTCCAGGTTAGCTTTTGCTTGCATTGTTGAAGTCTACTGGCACAACAAGCGGCTTGGACTGCAGGTGCTAGCAAAATCACTCTTGCACTGCGGGTCTGCCTTGCAGGCTCATAACCAACACCTTAGAGTTCTACTCCGCATGGGTCCCAGAGGCAGGTGCCTTGCCAGTTATGCGAGTTCCATGAAATAGCGCTCAAACACCGGACCTGAAGGTGTCGCGAAGAGCAGCAATCTCAGCCCAGTAAGCACTCCGTGCGCAACTCTTCCCTGCTGCAGCAGAGGCCCCTCCGGACACACTCGACAAGTTGGAGACCCGCAGGTATGAGGAGCAGACCTTCGGAGACGAGGACCTTTTGCATGTCCCCATGCCTTTGCCGTGGTTGTGCCCGCGGCCAAGCTTGACAGGAGGGGAAGCAGTATCCCTCCGAGTGTGCGATTTGCTTGGGCAGCTGGGAGTCAGAGGATGTCATCAAAGCAACGCTGCTGCATGAAGGTTCTGGGAACGTTGCGCATGAGCCTCCTGCAAACAAATCAAAAGCCTGGTATTTGGAACTGAGGTGACACCATGTGGACATGCTTTTCATCAGGCTCTTTGCCCGTGCCTGACAAGGAGGTCTGTTAGCCAGCGTTGCCAGGAGTGCATCGGCGGATGGCTGCAATCTGCGCGCACTTGCGCTCTTTGCCGCAAGGAACTGTTTGCTTTTGATGTCAGAGCTAGTGCCAGATGTTTGTGCAGAGGACCTCGTGGTGCTGACGGCAGAGGGAAGGAACAGGCATCCGGAGGTTTTGGGGAATCAAAACCCTGATGTGGTGGTAGCGGCTCATCTTCAACCTGCTTCTCCAACGGCTGTTTGGAATTAGGTCCGCTCAATCATGGCAACTGGCTGAGGTTGAACAAAGGTGATATGAGTTGCTGCATGCGGCTTCATATAGTAGGGGATGAGTCGTGCGTGTGTTGCAAATTGCAACTTGCTGGTACAGTCTGTCTGAGCATTGTGGCATGCCTCGCGGCCCTCACGGCACATTGAGCAGATGATTCGCAGCAAGCAACTATGAGGTATGAGGGGGGGGGGGTCAGCAGAACGTCTTCTCTCGTGCTGTTTTTGTGGGCCAAGACTCCAAGATTTGATCTTGCTCTCATGTGGTCCCTTGAACAGCACAAAAATCCTTGTTATATTTGAAGATCAAATCCTGCGGTCTGCGGAGTTGAGCTCCAAGAGCGGAAGAGACTCCGTAGCTACATCTTCGAGAAGCTTCGCGGCAAAATCGGGCGAAGCCCGAAAAGGCGCTGAGCATGTTTCGGAGGAGGAAGCTGTGTTGAGCTGTGCCAAGCAAATTGCCCCAGTGTGCAACGCGCAGCTCAAACAGGAGAGCACCGGTTCGAGGAATACATTTACAGCAGTTTTCAAGCAATGGCTCTTCCTCCAGCTAGTATTTCAAGGTAGGTAGGCGGATCACACCTGTTGATGCCGGATGTCTCTCAGGGGCGCCGAGTGAGAACGCTGCAAATCATTGGCGCTACCCTGTCTTTTGATTGGCCTTATGCAAATACGATTGCAGCTGAAATCCTTGCCAGGATCCGATGGTGTCAAGAGCAACTCCTCTTCGGGCTTGACTCCGAAAGCACCAGTGCTTCTAAATAAATAATGCCATAAGCGACTGAACGACAGAATTGACACCAAACTCGGGCTGAACCATTTGCCAGCCTCACGAAAGAGGTGCGGCCTCCCGTATGGTTTTTCATCAGGAAAAAGTTGAGAAGTGTTCGAGCCCCAAAGTAGGTACGTTTGCTGGCTGAGATGATGTCAAAGATGGTACGAGATTCCTTGGAAATGATGTTGCAGAACTTCAGCTTGTCTTGAGGGATTTGCACGTATATGTGGCGTGGAGCTTTTGGCTTGCCCACATTCCACTTCTTCAAAAATGGGAGATGAGGAGGCCTGGAAAGGGCTGTCAATACATGGTCAGCGCGCGCAAAGTGGAGTGAATCTCTGCGAGAGGAGCGGCAGCCACCCGGCGTGCTGCTGCCCTGGTTTTGCTACCTAGCTTCCGACAAAGTTATGAATTTTGTTTGTCAAGGTACACGCTCGTGACAGAGGCCGGTGAGCAGAAAACTTCCATCGGTTTCACAGGCAGATCTGGATGCTTCGTTGTTTACATTAGGCCGTCATAGTCATACTGGTTTGACCTGAAGGCAAAGCAACTGCAAACTATGCAAATGGCGACATCTACGAGGGCATGTTTGAGAATGGTGTGAGACAAGGCCAAGGTGTGTACACGTGCGCCATGGATATGAGGTTGGCGGTGCATCTCACATCTCCCCAGAGTTGGCAGGTACTTGAAGGGAGATGTCTTTACCGGCACCTTCGACAACAACCTGAAGACTGGCTTGGGAAGAATTGTGTGCGCAGGGCTGACTCCTGCCTTCAAACGCTCAGCCATCATCTCTTTCAAATCCTTCCAATACCCTGTTTCTGAGAGTTGCTGATGTTCCAAATGTAAAGTACGACATCGGCGCACAAGACTGTGGTCTAGACAGTGTCACTCAGCTGTCTCTTTGCATCGGTACCTTCATACATGACTTGCGAAGTGGACTTGAAGCCAAATGTCAAGAAGGGGCAAAGACAAGACCCAGCACTTCCCTGCACGTTATGAAGAGAACAAAGGTTGGCTTGCTGATTGGTGGCAGGTACAAGAAAGGCGGCTACTACCACGGTCATTTCAAAGCCGGCAAACGCGAGGGCGAGGCTGTGAGGACGCCCACCTAGGGTCAATGCAAACGAAGTGTCAAACAGGGCACGCTGCAGTATGCCAACGGTGACATCTTCTCTGGTGGGCAGGCCTAGCTGTGCACCTCACACCTTAAGGATCTGATTTCTGAATCCATGTCAGAACCCCAATCCTTTTGGTCCTAGGTTACTGGAAAGATGGCAAGAAGCATGGAGCCGGAACGTGCTCCTTGTGTTTTGGGTTTAGCAGTCTGTTGAGCTGTCATTTACGTGCATGTGACACTTGCCAGGTATGTCTTTAACAAGACCAAATACGAGTACAAAGGTGATTGGCAGGACGCAGTAGCAAAGTTGAAGCTGACGGAGCCATGATGGTCGGATATTGGACACGCCAGGCGATTGATGAATCACTCAAGCAAGCACTGGTGAAACCTTGGTAGGATGGGCAGATAACAACTGGAACATGGACCCTTACTGCTGTGGCCTTATCTGCCTTTTTGAGACCGTGGGCAAGGTTCCACAGACTCTGAGCCTCAGGATGGAACTCAGTACGAGGGAGGTTTCCAGAGCTGGCCACTAAGAGATCTAGCATGGCTCATGCACATGGCAATTCGTGTAGATAAGGCCAGAAGCCTTGTGGCGATGCCACTTGGAAAACTCGCCAAGGCCAAATTAAAGCAAACGCCACAAGTCAATCTAAGCGTGCTTGATGCTGGATGGTGCTGCGAGCAAGCTTCCCAATGGCTTTGGCTTGCCGCAGGCACCATTGTTGAGGGATCCTACGTGCAGCAGGCAAGGTGCGGGGTTTGGGTGCTTGGTTGAAAGCTTCTTTTCCTCTTTCAGGTGGTGCCCTTGGACTCCGCACCTCCAGCCAAGCAACATACTCGGAATCAAGGCATTGAAAGCCGTGCAAGCAGCTGCATGCATGGCAGGATGTGAGCTTGTGCCAAGGCCTGGTGAAACTCCGGCTGTCGCCACCCGGTGCTTTTGGACGACGGCAGCCTTGGCTGGAGCCCTTGCGTGCATGGAACAACCCAACCAAAGCGGTTCCTAGATTGATTATGTCTTTCTTTGTGGGTATGTCGTTTTGCACAGCGCATGTTCAGCCTTGAAGGCCTGCGTTCAAGTCACGGGTTTGGGCTTAGGCGAGTTGATGTTCTGTTGGTGCAGGCAGCAGTAGAGGAGCCACTGTGAGTCTTGGCTGAGGTGGCCGCAGAAGCCTGACAGAGCCAGGACAATTCTGCTTGGAAAGCATCATGTTGGGACACCTGAGGCATGGAAGTCACAAGAGGTCACAGGGGGCTGGCAAACCATGACAGGACTTCAGGACAACATGCAGAACTTGGCCCTTGGGCGTGTTTCACAGAGATCACAAGCCGGACTGGCCCTTGAGCGCAAAGCACCTGGCGATTCTTGCGTTGTAGGAACCTGTGCAGGTGTGTCGATCATGAGTCGCTCAGTGTCACGGAGGCTCAAGTCTTGCTGCTTTAGCAGGCTGACATCCAAGCAATGGGTGCCGGGTCATCCTCATGGGATCCGTTTTCTCTTTGCTCTGGTCCAGCAGCCCCGAACAGCCATGTCAGCAATCAAGTTGTTCATCCGCATGCGCACGAATTTATTGCAGAAGCTGACGAGGTTGAGGAGGCCATGATGCAGGAGGCCATGTGCCAAAGCCTCCTCGCAAATGAGCCCGAACATGAAGACTTGAAAGCTGCTCTGAGCCAGAGTCTGCGGCCAAGCCCTCCGCCAGACCCTGGCCATACAGAGGAGTCATTACGATTACAAGCGCTGCTCGATGTCTTAGGCATGAAGCGGCTAGATGTCGGCTCCACAAATCACAGCGAAGAGGGAACCCTTTTGAGCAATCAGTGCTTCTACCTTGCAATAGCCCGCAGCTGGCTTGCTTCCGTCGACAATGGAAGCGGTATGCTAGTCAGGGATTCTGCCCTGCAGCTGAAGCGCGAGATTGAGGCATCTGTTTTTTGCGTGCGAGGAGATGTGGGGGAGCTTGGGGATGAGGCCGAAGCATATACAGATTATTTGTCTTGTGTGGTACAAGGGCAGAGCCCAGCCTCTGCCTCGGCGATTACAGACTTGGCCATCGCAATCTTTGCATCAAGCTTGGGTGGGATAGAAGCCTACCAGGGAAAAGGCGCCAGGGAAAGGATCACTAGCATTTCAGACGCACAATTTCAGAGAACTCACGGCCGCGTCTGGAGGTAGTGATAACAGGTCTGAGCTATCCTTTTGAATTTAGGCTGGCCGTCATGTCAGTCATAATCAAGACCCCAGGCTACGGGGCCCTTCCTCGTGCACAGCAAGTTTCAAACTTGGCACTTGTTTGGCATCGTCCTGGTCACTTCGAAGCTGTCGTGGCTGCGGACGGAGGCTCACTCTCAATCCCTCGTTTCTCTCACCCAGCTCCCACTGCCGCCTGCAATTTCCATGGAATGCAGGCAAGATGGACATCAACCTGCAGGAGCTGATTGACCTAGCCGAGAGTCAGCAGCTGGTTCCAAGAGCATGAGTTTTACGCCTTTACGCCACGACTGCGGTTCTCCTTTGCTGCAAAGCCATGCGGTTGATATCTGGGCTGTCTGTTCGCACTTTGAACATATTCAGAGACCCTAGTCAAACAGCCATTGTTCGGAATGTTCTGTTCGTACGGCGCGTATTTTACACCAGCATTGCCACCACATAAAACTCATGAGGGGGCTGTAGGAATGCCAAGGCATGGCGAGTGATTTGATGTCAGTGCGATGATCCAAGGAATGTTGTTGCAGCAGTGGTCAAAGCATGAGCCACCAGTTGGTTCTTTGCAGGGCCCGCTTGTAGTATGCCTTCTTCAGCTTCTGGTCGCCGAGTCCGCCTCCAGGAAGCTCGCTGCCCGTAGCAGATGCTAGCAGATGTACGACCCGGGCTGATGCGGTGATTGCGTGGACTGGGCTAGATGCTGGCTGTTTTCGACAGGCCAAAAAAAGCGCAGGCTTGCAAAGCAAGGCCCTGCTAAGCTTGCTCGTGTGTGCCGGCTGTTACAGATGCAAAGACACAAGATCCTGCAGCGGTTCCGGAGAGGAACCACTGCTCTTACACCGGCAGCACGTTACGCCAATTTCTGCAGTCGCAATGCGATGAAAGAGGTGTGCCACTAGTTTAGTGGTTTCAAGGATGGTGTGAAGTTTTAAAACCCCATCCCAAAAGAGGATAAGCGAAGAAGTGGGATCAGCCCACGCATGTGGCGCAGTGGACAGAGGTTCCAGCAACGTTGTCCGGCCATATAGACCTTGATTCCAGAGCACAAACCTTCACACGCTCCCGTAAGGTAAAAGCACCCGAATCAAGCACTGCGATTCAAGCACTATCGATTCGGGCACTGCCAATTCAAGCACTACCGATTCAGGAACTACCCGTTTGGATTCAGCGTTTAGGGCATAGTCTTTACCTTTAACGGTCTGGAGGGTTTCGGGCTTAGAGCCGAGGGTGGGGGACGTTTCGAGGATTACGGGCTTTGGGTTTGGGAGTGCTTGGGGTGAAGCCGGGGGTGTTCAGGGCTCAGGTTTCGCTCGGTGGTGAGATTGTAGGGCTTAGGGCTTCAAAGTGTTTAGGGTAATTATGGGTTTTGGGGTTTATAGTTCAGGGCTTAGGATTGAAGGTTTAGGGTTCAGGATTCGGGTTCGGGCTTAGGGTTTGGGAGTGCTTAGGTTTTAGGGTTGAGGGTGTCCGGGGTTTAGAGTTTCCCGTTCATGTTTTAGGGTTCGCTAGCGGGAGTTTGGGGTTTAGGGGTGTAGGGTTTTGAGCTTGTGCCTTCAGAGTGTTTAAGGGGGTGTTCCGGGTGTAGGGTTTAGGACTTGGGGTTTGGAAGTGTTTAGGCTATGGGTTTAGGGTGAAAGGTTTAGAGTCTAGGGTGTTGAAGGGAAGTTACTTGTCAAGGGTTTTGAGGTGTTTGCGGTTTAGGGGTTGGGGGCGCTTTAAGCGTAGTTTAGGGTTCGGGAGTGTTCAGGTCTGAAGGTTTGGGAGTCTTTACGGCTTAGGGTTTGGACATTCCTTTGTGGTCTTCTACTGCCGCTACAACCTGCCCATCGAGACCCGTCCACACTGGCCTAGGCGCGAGTCACGCAATTTTCGTGCGCAAAGCAGCTGTTTCGGTCCGTGAATCTGTTCGTTTGGTGCGCGAATTGGCCCTTCTTTTTGGTGCGCGAATCGGTTCCCGTGACAGGCGAATCCTTGGTGCGCGAATCCGACGGGGCAGTGCGCGAATCCACCGGCGGCAGTGCGCGAATCCTGGGGTTGTCCCAGTGCTCGAATCCGCCCTTTTGGTGCGCGAATTCGCGTTTTTGGTGTTTGAATCGGCTTTCAACCCCCCCTGTAATGGTATGAGACTTTCCTCCACATAGACCTGAACTTGCAGAGAGATCTTGTAAACGTCCATTTTCTTTGTGTGAAGTCTCAATTGGCGAGTGTCTTGTGGTTGCAGCTTGCCTGCCTGAGTCAAAAGCAGCCGCAGATAATTTACTCGCTAACGCGAGACCGCCTCGGCAAGTCTGTCTAAGGCAGGGAAGGCACAGCCGCACCCCGCAACCGAACCCCCCCCCCCCCCCCCCCCCCCTTCCCCAAACCAATCGTGCCCACTGGGAGGGGGTTTACTCTCTTTGTCTCTGGACCTGGATCTAAACGTCCCAGGCCTCCGGCCTCGGCGGATCTGCCATCAGACAACCCTCAATGCCAACAGAGTCTGATGGACCTGTAGCTGTCATCAATCATCTCCTTTCGTGCCGACCACGACTGCTACGTCTGTCAAGCTGTGTCAGCTTCCGAAAGCAGACCAAGCCTTTTGGCGACGAATCTCAGAGTCTTCCGGTTCTGCTCCTGTGCCTTCACATTTGCAGGCAGGACCAGGTCCTTGCCCAGCATTCATTCAGAGAGCCGGAGTGGCTTTAATTCAACAGTGCTGGTGGTCTAGCTTTGGGCTTCAGGGATCTGTGAGCTTGCAAATTTCTGTTCCTGTGATGCTTCTATTCCAAGTCCAATTTCAGGGTTTGTTCTGGCCTGAGCGAGGGGAAAGAGTCTAGAGTCTGGAGTGCACCACGCAAGCTGCAACAGGAAACAAGCCGTGGGTGAGTGAGCTTACATTCAGAGGCCTTTGCATTGAGACGCATGTGAGGACGCGGCTGTGTGTGCGCAAAGCCTCCAAGTCTGTGCGAGCATTTACCTGCTTGAACTGTATCGTAGATCAAGGCGTGGACGATTCCTGAGACCTCCACAACCTCGGTGTTGGGCATGCGGCCAAACTTGAAGCCTGCTGGGGCTTCAGAGCTTCATTCCTTGCCACATTGGCCTTTCCTGGGGAGGGTGCTAGAAGCATGTTGTGTGGATTTGTAGCCGGAGCTCTGCACATTCATCAATCCTCTTAGTGGCCTGTGGCCTGATGGGCCTCAGACCCCAAGCACCTTTGATTGACCGCTGTGATCATTCTGCTCCTTGTCACTGAAGGGATCTGTCGAAGTCTTTTGAGCATGTGGCGTCGAAAAGGGGGAGGCGTGCCTAGATAGCATAAATCCATACGCCTGCAGCATGAGGCGATAATTCTGTCGACTTCGCTGCAGTATCCGCCCAATTGCGGTGGCAGCGAATGCATTCAGGACAAGTTTTCCTGCGACTACGTGTTTTTGACACACAGCTTAAAGCCCAATGGCCACAACAAAATCTGCAAGTGAAGCTACACTAGACTACACATTGCACAAAAGTTGCTCACGAGGTTTTTACAAGTGCTACGAGCAAAATGGTTAGCACCCTGCAAGGAAGTCGCTCGAGCAAGCTAGCCATGGAATCAAACAATACTTTTTTCTGCATCCAATTGAAGTTAGCCTGGGGGTTTGCCGGCTTCGCCATTGCTGTGTATACAGCTTGCCAGCTCATAGGTTTGGCATTCTGCATTGTCTGCCTCCTCTCTCTGCAGCGTATTGCTTTAACTTAAACCTCTGACGCACAGTTTGCCCGAAAATCATGGCAAAGGTCGCAATGCATCGCGACAACACTGCCAACAGATTTCGACGACAAGAGCAATCGGGTGGATCTGTGGTTGCCAGTACGTAGCTGGAAAGCCGTTTAGGCTTGCTGCCCACCACAACGGAAAATCTCAGTATCCCCAGAGACCTCTGCAGCAAGACAGGGGTCCTATGCCTTCGCAGCGCCACTCCCAGCCGTTATCAGCTTCGCAGCTTCGCGTCTTCGGGTTGTTGAAGTCTGCCGTGCGCCTGCATCACTGCCTTTTGCATGCCGCGCTGGTGGGGCGGCTGCTCTGGCGAGAGCCTGCTGAGGCTCATCATGGATAGCTCTTGATGCACGACTGCCGTTCCCCAAAAGCTCCCTCAGCCAGAAGATGCCAGAAGGCTACAGGTCGTTCCCAGCCAGAGCTACATAAGCTTTACTTTCTGCAAGCATCCATCATGGCTGCAGTCCGTGCAGTGCAAGCCGGTCGGGTCAAACAGTGCCTGCAGCAGGGTCTGTGCCGGGTTTGCCGATAGACAACGGACTGCCTTACGATAAACAGATCCGCAGAATGGTAACAACGGGTAGCACATTGTCCAACTTAAGAAGGGATTGGGCAAAGAACGTGTTGTTGGGCGCTCAAGAAGGGATTGGGCAGATGGATGGGTGGATGTCTCCACGACATTTTTCTGATCTTCTTCAACAGATCATCCCGAAAACAAAGAACTCTGTCAAGCAATTTGCTTTGACGCGTGTCTTGCTGTACTGTGGCTTTTTTCCAGGCTTAATTGCATACATGTGTTCCAGCAGCTTACAAGAAGATTGCCACCAGCCGTGGCCCAATGCCATAGCTTCGCAAGTCTTTATGGTGCACACATTCGCTTGCAGCGGGGGAATGCAGGGTGAAATTGGGCCATGGGCATCTTTCGCTCCTTAGAATGCCATGGCAGCTTTCAAGGCAGGAGTCGTGGAGTCTCCGATTTTTCGAAGCTGTACATCGAAGGTCCAGCCGAATGCAAAGACGCCGGCGACCATTGGCCCAAGTTGGGGCCAGGCATGAGAGGAATCACGCAAGCCACTCAGGCCACCGAGGCATCCTGGATTGGAGACACTTTTTGTCTCCAGCCACCGCTTTTTCCACGGCGCCACCAGCTTCACCAATTAGCATCCTTCCTCAAGGTACCTACTAGTTTTGAGGATGAGGATGATGCCGCCAGCAAAGTGGCAGATGACGAGGTTCCACGACCTCCAGACAGTCCGCCCGAGCCTTGGTTTATTGCCATAAAGCTTGTGACGCTGACGGGCAGCCCTGAGGTTGAACAATCTCGCGAAGTTTCGAACCAAGCATGCCTCTAACTTACAAGTCATCATGAGGGCAGCAGCTGGCGGCTCGAGTTGATCTCAGGCGCGAACGCAGGATGGATACCTGTGTGCTGCAGCAGGAGTGAAAGATGAGCAGGCCTTTGAGTGGGGCAAAGCAGTTTGCGCTCCTGCGGAACTGTGGAGGCCTTCACAGGTTGCACAGATCTTCCTGCTCCAGATGGTACGAACATCGGGAGGTTTGCTTTGAGAGACATGCCCATTAAAGTAAGGTAGAAGCCACTAGTCGTGATGGGCCGTTTGCGCACGGAGAGCGTTCCAAAAATCACCCGGCGAGGAAGTGGTGCTACATCGAGCCTGCTCAAGTGGAAGCGGCGGGCAAAGAGTGGGGTTGGTGCCGTGCTGCGTTCTCAGTGGCCCATCTTTGCCTGACAGAAATCTGCAATTGGTGGGCTGGGGACGCACACAAAAATATTCACCGAGGCATGGTCGGGCTGGCCAGACATAGTGGACGGGGTGGAGCTACCTGCGTAGCTCGGGTGTCTCCTGCGCAGAGACAGCCAGCCTTCATTTCTCATTAATTTCTGTGTAGTCGACCCGCACTTTCTTGCTATCTGCCGTACAGCCTTAGATTGAAATCCCTGATGTGAGGGTAGGATGGAGGCCATGGAAGGTAAAAAGCTGAGCGCGCAAAGATCTCTCGCGTCAGCACTTCCCAGCAGCTTGCGTGGAGTTGGTCAAAAATGAGTGCTTGGAGACTGACAGAGTTAGAAGAATCGGATGTGATTCGATGTGTGGTTCTTGCAGTCAGCTGTGCCCTTAAATTTGCGCTTGGCTCTAACTGTTGCAAAGAGACGGGACCACGGGACCATGCCCGCGCGGCCAACGCAGGGCGTTTCCCGTCAGACTCTTTGTCTGCATTTCACAGGCGGCGCATTGTGATATGACAGCAGCCGCCTGCCATCTGCAGGAACGAAGCTGACGTGCCGTGACAGGCGGAGATGTTTCTCAAGAAAGATTGCAAGTTAGACGAAGATGGCCAGACCTACTTGGACTCCCATAACTACAGTGCCTTGTCTGTGGCAGTTGCTATTGTCAAGTCGCATGGGACGATGAACTGGCCCCAAGCGGAACTGTTAACATCAAGGCTTCAAAAGCTTGCTGCACGGATCTAAGCCAAAGCCCGTGTGGGAGTGCCCTGGAGGCACAAGGTCCAGCGAGGGCTACAGTAATTGCTGTGCCTGGCTGTGCTGTCACCTGCGCTGTTTTTCTAACGAGTCATGCCCAGGCCAAGCAGCAATACGGCACGAGCTGTTGACTGCACAGTTGCCGTGGCCGGCGACTTTTCCTCTGTCCGTTGCAAGAGAGCATATGAGTTGTATAAGTGGAAAGCTTGTGCTGGTGCTTAGTCTGAGGTTGCCACCTTTGCACTTTCCACGGGTGCATTCTTGCTGCCGCGAACACTGGCAGCCCTGTGCATATTGACAGCCGGATACATCATCGGCAGACTGGCATGCTCCATGTTCATCCTTGTACTCAGCGTGGCTCGACAAGCTTCGGCACCTTTTTGAATCGCTGAGTCGCGAACAGCGCTTCCGGGTGCGGGGTGTGCAGGTATTGGTAGGCAAGATCCACAAGAATCAGCACGAGAGAGCTGTCCTTTTTTGGAGCTGGCCTCTTGGTACTAAAAGACGGCCAGCTTTGAGTGATTTAGTTCTGAGCTCTGTGAGACATCTCTTTCTACCTTGAGATATTGAGGTTTCCATGCTGGAAATTCATGCTGTGCTGCCTGGCTTGCCTTGCTGGCGCCCTCACAGGGCATCACCTGTGGGAGAATTACTGGCAGCAGTACAGCGAAGTCTCGCTCCTTAAGGCCGGAAATATAGGGGAGAGTCTCAAGAATTTTGCATAAAGCAGGAATTTCGCTCCATCTGAGGCATATCATGGCATAGATCCCTCTGTGGTTCCAGGGAGCCAGATTCAAGATGCCGGTGCTGTGGACTTTGTGTCCACGGCTGGCGTCGACTCAGAGCATGGTGGATGCTTCATGAACGCGGGTACGACGTACTGCGTTGCGCCTATCGTCACGAACGGTACGATTCATCACAGCATCGGGGGCGCGCCGCGGTATGGTAGCTTTGACTACTTTGCAGTGGGCGTCGACTGTTGCTCGTGCCCTTGGCTGAAGCAAACTCGAGATGGGCTCTGCATCAGAGATTTTCTGTGCTCCAAGGTGCCCGGACATCAACTTCCGATGTGGTGCATGGAGGCATCCCTGGGCCGAAGGCGGGATCCGTTCCACGGATTTGGAAGCGAGACCCTTCTTCCGACTTGCTGTGGACGGTTGGGCCAGCACATACCGAAAGACTTCCAGTCATCCGCTTTTCTTTGAGTGGGTGGAGTCACCGCTCATGCACTGGCCGCTACTTCGCACATGAGCTGCAGATTCACGTAAGTGCATAGGTCTTAGGCATGCTTAATTGCTTCATTGTCATTCGCAAGGAAGAGTTTGCGGAGGGAATTCCTGAAGCGGCTCGTGCTGTCCCTCTTGGTCTGCACTGCCCTGGTGCTCGCCGTCAATCTTACGCTTTCACGCCTGCTCCAGGCGCATTGAGCTTAAGTTTGAGCATAAGCAGTGCCTACCCAGAACAAATTTTGCAAGTCGCGGAACCGGCGCACGTGAATGGTCAGCTAGCTTAGGGCAGATTTGCGTGTATGCCAGCTCCCTGTCCTCTGTATGCCCTTTTTAATTGTCCCGTGCACGCCCTCACTAGGAGGACTGTTAGTACAAGCTACTGCTACTGCAGTCTGTTGGTTGCTGACGGTGTGTTCGCGTTCACTTCACGCTGGTCGTACTGTGGCACTTGGGGGAAATGCGCCCTGCCTGAAGTTGCTTAGGCTGTTGCGGCAAGTTTCCAGTTGTCTAACCTGTGCAGTCTCGTTGGTTTTGAGCCCCATGACTTCACCTCAGTAGTCCAGAGTTCGCCCAATCAGTCCAAGGGTACGAGGAGTTCTGATTTTAATTTCGAGTCGCCCCGTTGGTGAAATTTTGCACAGATCTGTGCCGAAAAACAAGTTTTCGTTTGGGTGTTAAACACATTTCCATTGTTTAAACCTGCGAATCACTTCAGTGGTCCAGGGTTTGCCCCTTTTGTCCACGGCGGGCAAAACCGCTCCCGCGGGCGCAAACAATTGAAGAGCATCCGCTTGTATGTCTACTCACAAAATTGTGCTCTTGCGACGTTACCATTTTGATCATTAATTAGTGACAAATGGTTTTACCATTGAGAACCAGCGGAGAGCGGCGTCGTTGTCGTCGTCGCCGGCGGCGGCAGCGTAACTACGCCCACTCGGTGCTGCAATATTTGTTGGAAATAACGGATCGAAACGCGTTTTGCAGAGGTGCAGGTTTCCAAAACTGTTTGTACGGGTCACATATGTAGGTATGCACCGAGTGGACGCCGTACGAAGCCTAAATACGAGAGAACCAGTTGAAGTCAAAAGCAGGATCCTTCGAGAAAAAATGAACTACAAATCTAGATGCAGAAGAACGCAATGTTTGGACATGTTCATCAAAACTGCTCGGGAATCGGACGCTCTCGAAGATGGACGATATTATGGTTTAGAGATGGATGCTTTGGGAATGGATGCCCTTGGAACGTTATCGTGGTTTGGACATGGATGTGAGCACGAATGCGACGCGTCCAAGTGGATGCGATACCTAATAGTAGTAGTGGAAGAAGTAGTAGGAATCATACCAATAATGAAGCGCCGTGAGCGGTTCAAATCCTCGTTGTTGTCTCCTGCTAGATCTCAATATTCACTGCGGTAAGAGGGGCAGCCTGAAATATATTTTCTGCCAGAAGGAGCGTTTGCAGAGTGAGCTTGCGCAGCACCGTGTCAAACAGAAACAAGAGCGATCCTGTCGAGAAATATTTTCCATGAGAGAAGGCAACAGGTGCCATGCTCTTGCTAAGGAAACAGCAGTTTTCCATCAACAAGTATTTTCATGGGCTGTCCATGAGACCAAGCAACAAACGCCTTGCTCTTGCAAAGGAAAGCGTTATTTTCCATGATTTTTGCAAACTATCTGCAATTTCCTGTCAACAGAGTGTTGGATCCACCCACATGTATCAAAATCTGGCCGGGATGCTTGAACAGACGGCCTGCATTCAAGAAGCTGTGTTCAGCGTGCCAGCCGGCCAGTGTGTTTTGAGGGCTTCAGCGCTGAAACCTGAAGGCTTAATACATTTCAGCGCGAAAAACTATGTGTCAGGCTGCTCCTATTTCTAAACAGGGGCAGCATGAAACATAATTCACTTTTTTCAGGAAAATCCGGATGGGAAAATCTTTTCAACGCAGAAATACGTTGCAGCACCACATATCACATTTCAGAAAACTAAATTTCAAGCAGGAGAAGTTAATATTTGAGGATAAGAATATGTTTGAGCAACAAATATATTTCAGCGAAAAAATACTCCAGCGAACATATATTTCAGCAACGCCCAGGAGCGGGCAACGCAGGCAAGGCTCCCCCCGGATGCTGGAAGCTCCAGCTCCAAACCCTGCTAGAAGCTCCCGAGATAGCCAGGATCAAGAGCCAGCTAGAAGCTCTCAAGATAAGGGTTTAGCCAGGATCAAAAGCCGGCTAGCAGCTCCAAAGCCTGCTAGAAGCTCCCGAGATAAGTGAAACGGAGACCCAATGATGCTGATGATGCCGGCCAGAGGGGCCAGCATCATCAGCATCATTGAGGGGTCCGTTGCCCAATCTGAGGCCTTCCAGTACCCCCTCCAACCTGCAAAAATTGGTGCCCGGGCCCAGATAGGCCTCGGGGCTAGTTTTCAAAGTACGTCCGTGCTCATGATGCTTTTTTGGGAAGTCCCGACAACCCCAAACATGCCTCAAAAAATCCTCCGTGCTCTGGGGATTTGCCTCCGGAACGCAAGTAAATTTGAGTTTGGTTTGGCGGCAGGGTGCATGAGGGGTCTTTGGAGAAACACAGGTCCAGTGATGCGGGTCGGCGGCACTGGCGTCCGCTCGATGGCTGGAGCCAGTGCCATGGACTGCGGCAGCAACACAGGGCTGCCCAATTTTAGGCCTAGCGGCAGGGGCCGGCCGGCCTGCCGCCTTCGTACTGAGATGGCTTTTCTTGGGTTTTTTACCCCTCCTGGTCAATTAAGCCAAAATGGGTTCCCAATTGTGCTGATAGCCAGTATAAAAAAAACCATCCAACATTCAGGAACCCCATCAGACCTGGCCCAGCAGGCACGGGCAGCCTAGAAGCCTGGAACAGGAGAAACGGGACCCCAATGATGCTGATGATGCCGGCCAAGGGGGCCAGCATCATCAGCATCATTGCAGGTCCGTTTCTCCAATTTTGGCCTCCCATGCATTCAATGACCCCTGCTGGAGTCTACATTCTTCTCAGCCCTACCCCAAGAGCGGCCTCGGGGCTAGTTTTAAAAACGGTTCGTGCTCATGATGCAGATTTTGTGGGGTTTTGGGGGACCCCCAAAATCCTTCAGCCAGGGTATCGTGAATTTTGGAGTGGTTGTGGAATGGGGTCCGGGAGGGGCCTTGGGAGAAACGGAGGTTCGATGATGGGTCGGCGGCGGTGGCGCCACTCCCTGTAGAGCTAAAGCTCTAGACATGGGATCCGCCTTGGACCACGACGGCAGGGCCCGATTTTAGGCATAGTGGCGACCGTGGCAGGGGCCGGCCCCTGCCGCCTTCGTACTAAGATGGCTTTTGTTGGGTTTTTGACCCCTCCTGGTCAATTAAGCCAAAATGGGTTCCCAATTGTGCTGATGATGCTTCTGTACGAGGCGCGCGTGCAGGAACATCAGCACAATTGGGACCTCGCTTCGGGCCGTTTTCAGCTAAACTAGAGAGAGCAGGACCTTCCAAACCTTAAAACAACATCACAGGTAGCAGGAACATAAGTTTTTGGTACATTTCTCTCAATCAGGAGCATCAGCATGGGCCTGGCTTTCACATGATGGCTGGGTGAGCAGGGGCTGCGAAAACCCACACGCAAACCCCATCAAACCATCGCACAACCAGTATAAAGCCCGCAGAAAACTTACATAAAACCACCAGAAGTCCTGCAACCCACCACCCCATCCAACATTCAGGAACCCCATCAGACCCGGCCCAGCAGGCACGGGCAGCCTAGAAGCCTGGAACAGGAGAAACGGGACCCCAATGATGCTGATGATGCCGGCCAAGGGGGCCAGCATCATCAACATCATTGCGGGTCCGTTTCTCCAATTTTGGCCTCCCATGCATTCAATGACCCCTGCTGGAGTCTACATTCTTCTCAGCCCTACCCCAAGAGCGGCCTCGGGGCTAGTTTTAAAAACGGTTCGTGCTCATGATGCAGATTTTGTGGGGTTTTGGGGGACCCCCAAAATCCTTCAGCCAGGGTATCGTGAATTTTGGAGTGGTTGTGGAATGGGGTCCGGGAGGGGCCTTGGGAGAAACGGAGGTCCGATGATGCACCGGCAAGGGGGGTCGGCGGCGCCCCCCCCTGTAGCGGCGACCGCGGCAGGGGCCGGCCCTGCCGTCAACACCGAAGTGGCAAGGTTAACCCGCCCATAACGGTAGGGTTAACCTCTCATACCCAAATGGCAAGGTTGGCCCCCCCATAAGTAAAACTCAAGTGGCAAAGTTAACCCGCCCCATAGGCAACACACAAAGGCCAAACTTAGCCCCCCTATAAGCAAAACCTAAATGGCAAGGTCAATCCGCTCATAAGCAAAAAACCAATTTTGGCAAGGTTAACCCCCCATAACCAAAACCCAAAGGGCAAGGTTAGCCCCCCGATAAGCAAAACCCAGATGGCAAGGCTAACACCCCCCCGTAAGCAAAACTCAAAAGCCAAACTTAGCCCCCCATAAGCAAAACCTAGCTGGAAAGGTTAGAACATAAACAAAAGCTAAATGGCAGGCAATGTTAATCCCCTCATAAGCAAAACTCAAAGGGCAAGGTTCGCCCCCCCATAAGCAAAACCCAAACGGCAAAGTTAACCCCCAATGAACAAACACACACATGGCAAGGTTAACCCCCCAGAAGCAAAACCCAAAAACCAAAATTAACCTCCCCATAAGCAATGGCAAAAGGAGAAACGGGACCTCAATGATGCTGATGATGCTGGCCAAGGGGGCCTGCATCATCAGCATCATTGGGGGTCCGGCTAAGATGCTTCCTAGGCCCCATGGCTGAAAGATTTCTGAAACGCCGATGCATCATGAGTCCAATATGTCAATGTATTTGGGGGATAGCCTCGGCTCGGCTGACGCCGTTGTAGTTTTGGTAGTATTTCCCAATCTCAGACTGTGTCACAACAGGCGCCGGTTTGGGGACCATAATTTACCCACGTCAGCGCTGGC